CTAAGCCTGTTTTGAACCGTAACACCATGGCATGGCACAAAACGACGTGGACCTGTACAGGCTCGAACCATGGGGCGAGTCGGGCCAACCACCAAAATATCCTAGGGGAGGGAGGCACAGCCCATGGGCCGGCATAGCATGACACGACTCGCATTATGTGCGGGCCGTCCTGTCAACCTAGCATGGTCTGCTTTACAACTCTAGTCCTACTGCCCACTCTATAGATTTCTAGGCAGCTTCCATTCCAAGGTGATAGCTTGGAATGGAGGTTTAAATACACCGAGGACTTCTACCTTGCCAAGGCAAAAGGTGCTGAGGAGTATCATGGCTCCATGCTGTTCCAAAAGGAGCGGGGTGAGTACGCCACAGATTCGTTGAACAAGGGTTTCAGGTTTTATCCTTGACTCATGGACTCACTCAATCCTAAACCCGACTTAAACTCAATTAAGATCTCGATTGTAACCAAACAGTTGGTGAACTAGGTCACAAATAAGCCATATTTTGAGGGAGAGGAGGAGGAGGATTGCGACGAGAATGATGTAGATGCCAACAACAAGGAAGGTGCAACGACCGAGGATGACAACCTGCCCCCCAGCCAGGAGTGAAGACATTGCCTCTTTTCTTGGACCCCCCTATAAATACAGTGTAGCCCGAGCCTTTTGAGCTCGGCTTTCCCTTTGTAGTAGTTTCTCTTTTTCTTTTTTTTGAAGTAGCAATGTACTTATCTCCTTTCTTAGTAAAGCAATGGAGTTTTCTCAATGATGTTCTGGAATGCTTCATTTTCCTTAAATATCTTATAATTTTCAAAATAGTTTACAAAATTTGTTTAGGTAATAAAACGACACTGAGGTGTTTAAGTGAGCCAAAGTGTTCCAATGTGTCAGGGTGCATAATTGAACCAAAGTGTCAAAGGTTGGTCGATTAAACCAAATCGTAAGTGCAAAAATCAATTGAAATGGAGCTTGAGCTTAAGGCCACACCGTTTCTCAGTGAAATCAATTGAAATGGCAAAAATTGAAGAGAGTGAGTTATAGATATAGAATCGTAAACTTGTGAAATAAATCGAAGTAATACATCGTATATCATTGGTGAACTCTTGAAGTGAGTCATACATTGTCGACAAGCGAGCTTGAAACCCTAAGTATAATATCTTCTAAGGTTCTCAACATTCCATGTACAGGATACCGACCTTCCCTCCAGGGTTTTGAGCTTGTACATTCCAGGTCTTATCACCTTGTCACCTTGTACGGTCCTTCCCAGAGCCTGGCTCGAGCAACATGACCTTCTGTAGCACTAAGTCGCCATCTTGGAAGGTGCATCTTTTAACACGAGTGTTGTGGTAGCGAGCTATCCTTTGTTGGTAAGCCACGGTTTGGAGCTGGGCTTGCTTCTGTACTTCTTATAAGAGGTCAAGATTAGTGCACAGCTCATCATCATTGTCCTCTTCATCGTAGGTTTCTATTTGCAAGGTCGGTACCTCAATCTCAGTTGGGATGATGGTTTCAATTCCAAAGGTAAGTGTAGTGAGAATGGGACAAATGGGCCTTAGTGGTTTTTATTTCTTTTAAGTAGTGTTTAAGGTTATGTTTGTTGGTTATGAGCTTTTTTGTTTTCTTTAATTATTTCTTTAGTGATGGAGAGAGGTTCGAACTCTTCTTTTCTTTCTTCCCTCTTCTTTTTCCACGACCTACTATTGAAACCTCTTTCTTCTCCTTTCTCTTCCTTTCTTTCTTCCTTTTCCTATATTTTTTGAATTACTATAGGTGTATTTCTCAACTTGGTATCAAAGCGGGTTCTCACTTTCAACTTCTTTCTCTTTTCTTTGCCCATACACAATGTGTATGGAGAACTGATCGGTTTATCAATCAACAACTATGCAGCCTAGTTAGGAGGGTTTTTAGAATCTCTATGGAGGTTTCCATCCTTAATTGAAGCCCAACACAGGTTTTTAGAGATTTTTTTTTTCTTAAAACCCTAGATAATTGGAGAAATCTTGTTACAGGTTGTAGAGAGAGTTTGAACCAAGAGCTTTGGGGTAGGCCTTTTGATTTCTATTGAGGGCGGTTTGGTTGGACTGAGTTCTGGAACCTCTAGTAGGAGTGGTTGAAGTTTCTCTTTCTCTCAATCATGTTGGGTCCTATGGAACCCTATTTTTGGGAGGTTGAAGCGTTGTTCTTTAATTAGAACAGTAAATCTAGCCTAGTAAAACCCTAACTTGATTTTCGTTTGCATCCGTTCACTCAATGGAGCAAATTGAACGAAAGACCAAATATTCCACAAATTATGGGTTTTGACATAAGGGGTTAGTAGATAATATTTTTGGGGTTGTGACTACTCTGAAGTTAGATGGGACTAATTATTTAGCCCGGTCTCAATCTATTAAAATACATGTGTGTAGTAGAGGAAAATAGGGCTACATTACCAGAGGCAAGAAGAAACCAGAGGAGGATGATCCTACCTATGAAAGGTGGATGTAAGAAAACTACATAGTAATGGGTTAGTTAGTGAATTCTATGCAACCATACATTAGTCAGCATTACCTATAGATGAAAACTACAAAAGAAGTGTGGGATAATGTCATGGAGACCTATTCCCAAAAGCTTAATGTTGCTCGGGCCTACAAATTGAAGCATGATGTGAATAATCTAGGATAGGGGAGAAACCCTTAGATATCTACTTCTCTATGCTTAAATCTTTGGCAAGAGATTGATCTGGTGGAGACTATTGTTTAGGGTTGCACAAAGGATGCAAAAACATATACGAAGTTGGTGGAGAGAATTAGGGTCTTTGAATTCCTCACCAGACTTAACATGGAGAATGATATTGTGAGGCAGAATGTTTTAGCAAAGGATGAGGTGACTTGGACTCAGGCGTATACTATGGTGAGCAGTGAGGAGAGCAAAAGACATGTTCAGTCTATCAAGCCACAGGTTGATCACTATGCCAATGCCGGGATGAAGCCGAAGGTTGTTAACATTGGGAAGAAAGATGTTATTTGTGAGTACTACAAGAGACCTAAACACACTAAAGACACCTATTGGAAGCTGCATCCAGTGCTCATTCCTACCAAACTCAAGAAAGAAATAGTGGTAAAAAGTTTTAAATTGGAAAATGTGTAAATACAAATGTAGCCACCTCCTCACAAGGTGAACAAATACAGGGTGGAGAGAAGTCAATGGGAGTACAACTTACATCCGCTAGGGATGAGTATGAGAAGTATGGCCGAATAATCAGCCATTTGGAGTCTACTGCTACATCTCCTTTAGAGACTGTTCCTTCCTCTACATATGCTCACTCAGGTATTTGTGCCACTACATATCATGCTTTTTGTCTCAGGTACTCATAAAACCCCATTGATAATTGATTTTAGTGCTTCTAGCCATATGACTAGTGTTTCACAATTATTCACCTCTTACCAATTCCTTTTTGGCCAAGATAAGATATCCTTTTAAAGGAATGAAAGATCAATCATATGGATGGCCACACCCTGCAGGAAGGTTGGGCGAAATTTCAAAAATTTCTCTCTCCTATCTGGAAATTGCATTCCCTATTTTAGAAAACTACATTTTCAATGATCAATCTGAAACCAAAAGGGGGGAGAGGGATATACCTGATACGGAATAGCAGTAACTCCCAATGAAGGTATTCACACCTAAAGAAAAAACCAAAAATTACTTCCACTGAAGATGACACAGTGTGAGATGAAGCAGGATTAGCATGACGACTCTTCAGCAAGAACCGAATTCTTCAACAATAATGGGGTAGAGGGCTAGTGAGCATGACTTCATATTGCTTCTTCTACCAAGAAGCAATATCAAGAACAATTCTTGATCACTCTCACAAGTGGAAATCGAATTGGGTAGGGGTGGCAAGAACAGGGAAGAACTCTGCAGATTGTTGTCTTGTCTGGTGTCTTTGCATATCCACCATGCTCTCTTATTTATAGCCTTAAAGAGACAGCCTCCTAATCTGATTAGGAGTTTCCTGATCCAAATCTTTATTTGGATCTAGACTCTTTAAGTGATAAGGATAATCACTTATCTTATCTGCAGTTTAAGATCAGCTTAATCCTAATTAAATTAGGAGTTTCCTGATCCAAATCTTTATTTGGATCTGAACTCTTTAAGTGGATAAAACTTATCCTTTTATCCTTATCTACTGATCCAAACCCAGATTTGCCTCTATTTAATTAATTTAATTAACCCAATTCGAAAATGGGCTTTAGGCCCATTAAGTTTGTTCTCACTTAACCTCTTAACCTGCTGCCCAGTTGTCTCTCATTGTATAGCATGGGATCCAAACATCGACATACACATTAGCCACATGGGTTCAACCCAGTCTTCGTTACAAGGCTTGACCAAATTCACTGTAGGAGACAGTAAACCCCTGAGTCAATCACCATGGGCTCTTAATGGACCCAACATTTACACTAAATGATCATTGGGTCCAACCACCTTATGAAAACCCAGTGACTATGACAAATGCAAGATCAACCCATCAGGTATTACCCTCAATGGTCTTAAGACCGCCGACTTTGATCTAACGCAACGGTTTTTAGTCCACCCCCAAAACTTCTGTCGACTTAGGTCAAGACCACCATTTTAGATGCAAAAGACCGCCACCTTAGGTGGTTGGTTCAAATTGCTCTAAAGTGGCAGTCACACTGAGCCGCCGACTTAGCATTAATCAAGCGGCGGTTTAGACCGCCAGCTTAGATACCAAAAGACCATCGCCTTAGATTTCTGTCAAACTCCCTCATGTTCTTAAGTGGCGGTCCGAACCGCCAGCTTATATGCTAAATGACCGCCGCCTTATGTGTTGTGGCTAAACCAGCAGTTTCATGACCACCGGCTTAGATCTTTTCTTTTTATTTTTATTTATACTAGGATAATTCTAACATCTTTTGGTCATGTTGATAGCTAAGCCAACGGACATGACCATCGACATACCCACTTAATTGCAGCAATTTTGTGGTACCTGAACTATTTATTATTATAATATTCAAAGCAAATTGTTTAAATACAATATCCAATTGATGTATAAAAGTACAACAAATTAAAAAAAAAAATCCAATTTCCAGGATTATGTAACATGCCTTCCAATGAAAATCCATTTAACATGATGGTTGAACCTGCAAATCATACCATATAAATTGTTAGAGAATGGATTATGTTTATCAATAAAAAATTGGTCAATGCTCAAAATACAAGATCAAGTAAAATGAAGTGAAAATCTTTAAAATAATATTGTTTTCTCACTTTGTAAGGGCTGACTTTGGCCAACTTGGATATTTGACACTTGAGCTGCAAAAGAATGTCAACTTAAATTATTTATAAGATCAAAATTAACTGATGACAATTAAAAAAAATGCAACTAAACAATTTTAGAAAATGAATTACATGCATAGAATGAGACATGTTGAATTGAGTGTTAAATCATCCTTGAAAAATTGAGTAGAGCATTCCTACGTCCATTCTCTTCTGTATAAGATGGGGACAGCATCATTTTACTACTATTTGACTTTCTCCCAAACAAACATGATAAAGTCAAACATGAAAGCAAAAATAAATCAAAATTTAAATGGCCTATTTGGGTTATCATGCATTTATTCTAATGCAAATGAAATTATCAATGCAACCAACAAAATGAACCTATAGTATTTTCGGCAGTCAGAGAAATGAGGTGGGCTATTCGGAATTTGGGGTGGTTCAAATAGAAGACCATTGTCGTGTTGGCTGCATGTTGTTTTGGGCATGTCCAGTCCAAAGTACAAAGTCTAGACTGGCCCATGTCCACGATATGTTGCTGTAACCAACCCATCAAAATGTAGTTCAGTTCAGTTAAGCCCATCAAATTCCCATCCTATTCCTTGTTATTGTATCAGAAACTTCAATCCTTTATCTAAATTTTACGTCAGCCACCTTGTCCACCTCCACCCTTGCCAAATGTAGTTAATGTAGCCTCCTTATTTTATCATACGTCATGAACAACTCTTGTCACCAAACAAAATATTCATATTTGAAGTTGTAAACATAGACATCGTAAACTTTTCACCTTCCATAAAAAGACCCTGAACATTTAGTGATCAGGTCTCTTTTATTTGGACCTCCTCTTCAGGGTGAGGGGAATCTTGATCCAAATTCTACGCACTACCTCACTAAGCCCCCTCTTCATGTTCCGCCATCTAATGGGTCTCATGAAAGGGACAACTCCTATACCTCCTAACCCCCCCCCCCAAAGCTACTCCAATTTCTAATAATGTAATCAGGTTTGACTTCCCTATTTTCTCCTCTACATTTCTAATTTTCTTCTTCACCACTCCTCTCCTCTCCTCATGCACCATGCAAATATCTTCTCCGGATGCAAACATCTCCAACAATTCAACTAGGCCTCTCAACAACCACAGCCACATTGGTGGAGTCTCTTAGCAGATTATGAAGCCTCTTTACATTCTCAATATTCTTGGCATATAACTTCTCAGAAGATCCTTTTTAAAAGATTCCCTGTAGGATTCTGTGTTCATCATGGACAAGGTATCATGATTTAATAGTTTTAATCAGGAACACTTTGGAAGATCCATGTATAAAATCAAACACCAGAAGGTATATAATTAATCCAGAAAGAGAAGACCGTACTTGTAAAGAATAATCTGAAAAGGCTCCAGGAAATTGTTCAGCCAAAATCTCCATAGCAGCAAGAAATACAACCTAAGAAAAAAACCGACCACAATGGATTTTATTGGAAATAAGAACAATCAAGCTATAAAACATTCCTAATTATATTGATAAAAAAAAACATTCCCAATTATACTAAAAACAAAAAGATGTAAAACGGAATATAAAAACCTCTTTTCCCATCTATGGAGAGATTATAGCATAAACATTTGAGTCTTCCAGTCTTATACGATCTTTCCCTGTCCCCACATGTGGTTCCCATTACAAAAGGTACACTAACTTTGCAGTACAGCTCTGCATTGCCTGCAATCAAAGAAAAAGAAAAGATCTCAACTCAACTCAGCCTTAATCCTAACTATTTGATCTCAGCAAAATGAATTCTGTCCTACTTCAAAAAGGGGGGAAAAGAAAAGGAAAAAACAGTAAAAATTAAAAATAGCATCAAATAGCTTTTATTTTTCTTCAAATAGCTAAAGTACAGAATATTCAAAAACAGTTTGACCCAAGTAGATTCACTACTACATTTTTCTTTCCCCTTTTTTCCTGTGATCAATGGGCCATGGCTACCATTCAATAATTTACAAATAGCCTCCTAGCCATCACATTCTCTTGGATAGGCACATGGCTGATCACATGGTATGGGGTTCCCAACTGCATTAAAACAAATCAGCACTTCTTTCACATCCTTCATGACCCAAACCTTCCACCATCCTAGCAGCACTAATCTTTCACTCTGCCTAGTAGAGGTGTCATAAAATTCAACTCTGATGGCAGTAGGCGGTAACATGGGAACTCTAGGTCCTTCTGGAAYGGAGGAGGGAGTGTAGAGACAAAAATGTAGTAGAGAAATGTTTTCAGGCCCAATAGGCACTGGGAACTCCCTAAGAACTCCCTAAGGATCTGATTAAACTAAAAACTGTTCCATTACTATTACTTATTATCTTCCTAAAGAATAAAAACAAAATATTAATGGGGCTTGCAAAGCTTGTCTGCTGGCTACTGATCATTGAGATTCTTCTAGGCCCCAATGTATGTTATAATCCCTTAACTTAGAAAATGTTTAAAATCACTTTCCCTTTCCAAATCAGAAAATGCATATGAATAAGGAAAACATTCACAAATGGAAAAACTTTGGCATCATTTATCTTCATAGCATTTCAAATTAAATATGTTTGAGTATTCTTCCTTGTGGTTCATTCCCTT